AGCATTTGCTGTCTCCATTACTTGCTTAGCACGTCTAATTTTTGGCCAAGTTGAAGTCAACTCAAGAGTTTGAAGTGCTTGCGCCTTTTCGTGTTTGTGTTGCAGCATAGTTGACACAGCTGGCATGTGGCATGCGGCAAGCGGTATATGGCATGCCAATTGCCATTTCAACTTTAAGTTCTCTTTAATATCATATGACACTTTTGTTTGCTTTCTGTGGCACTGTTGCTCGAGTCCGTTGCCTTTGCCAGGCAATTAAATATGAAAAGTAATTTTCATTGTTTGTCGACAAGTTTTCTTCTTCTACTTCTTGTTCGCTTTCTACATAGCGAGAAGAGAAAGGTGCAGAGTCGGCAATTGTCTCGGAAGTGTTGGCAACTTATTTGCCGTCTTATCAACAGGCAGAACCAGTTCCAGCTGAAGAACGAAAGCCAAAAGGCCAATTTGCATGCCGAGAAGCAGTAGCAGCTGCTGCAGTTGTCAAGATTTTGTGGCACAACTGTGATTTCGCATTTCGCATTCATTGAAACTGTCACGGGTCCGCGGCTGCGGGTGCCTGGTGCACCACACCATTCCACGCCATGCCCACGACTGTGGTGCAAAGTGCAACATTTGTTGCAATTTACTTGCAATCCAGCATTTGTATGCACAGTGACAGTGCGGGCCATAAGCCACTCGGACCGCAAAACAACCAAGAAAAAGCAGAAGCAGAAGAACATAAAAACCCCTTTTCACAAGTGAGATGTCGGAACTGGGCAACAATTGTTACAATACCAACTTTTTATTTGCGCTCGCATCAAACTAGAGTTCTTTAGAGAATTGCGACAAACTAAAATGCTTCAAATGTTAAAAGTGAGGGGACATTATTATACATATGTGTGCTAACAGCAAAAGGCCAAAAGGGAATTTCAATTTGATAAAAAATACTGAAAGAAAACTTTGTTGACAATTTCCTAGAATATTGTAAAGCCTAAAACAAATTAAACTTTGCCTTTTGAAAGAAATTAAAAATATACTACTAAATATACTAGATTACATTGAATGTATATAAATATATCATGTAAAATTTTAAATTCAGTGAAAACCTTAAGTTTGAATCATTAATTTATCTTGTAAAATTTTTTAATTTTTTTTTGTAATTCTGATAGCGTTTTAGAGAAAAGTCTGATATATATTGGTATATTTTATTTTAATTTTTCTTATTTAAATATATATTTAAATATATATTAAAAAAATAATAAAAAGTTCTTTTGTTCTGTTTTTTTAAAATAGTTTTTGTATTAATATTTTAAAATATATTTAATTTAGAAAATTAATATATATATAACAGCTTAGAAATTTATTCAACTTTTTTAAATTTTGACTTTATATTGTTATAAATATTTTTATATTATTAACAGGGTATTTGCTAGTTGTTCACATCTGTTGGCTAAAAACCGCAAAGCCAACAAATGTGTAGCGTAATTGTTCTTGAATCTGTTTTTTCTGGCTGCGGCTCAAGCGGCGTATGCGTAATGCTGTGTGAAGTGGCAAAAACTTGGCGTTGCGTACACAATTTTGTTGCTGTTTCTGTTGCTCTTGCTGTTGTTGCTGTTGTTGTTGTATGTTGTATGTGACAGGCGTTAACTGACACTTGGGTGTCACGTTAATGTCGTTTAGCATGCTAAGGCCTTAAATGGCATTTATTTGCAGCACAGCTAACGCGCTCCGCCACGCCCACACGCCCGTTCGCCCACACTCAACGCTAGTGGCAAGTGTCGTTCAAGTTTCGGATATTGTCAAAGACGTGGCTGCTGCCCAACCACAGCTAAATACAATGACGTCTAATGGCATTGAAGAAGGTTTTTTGCTGTTAGCTGCGGGGCTTGCGATGAGTCGACTGAAACAAGTGGATTTTGTCCTTCCGCTGCCATACTCACCCACTCCTTGTGTATGTGTGTGGCGTGTGGCACACTTAGTAAAAAAGCAACAAATATGACAAACACCGCACAGATTATAGAAACGAAAGCCGTCTAATTTCGTGCTGCTTAGCTGCCCAAAAGCCACATTTGTGGCTAATAACTGCTATTAAAGCCATGCCGCTGGGGTGCTCTCTGATATACGTGTATTTGTGTGTGTGTATTAGTTGTAGGCGTGTGATTGGGCTTGCTGAGTAGGGTCTGCTATCTAATTACAATTCAGTAGAAGCAACTTTTATTCATTTGTCCAGCGTCACATTTTGTATGCTGCTTCTCTGTTTGCTAATAGTCTGCAGTGTCTAACTCGCTCTACGCCTACTCTCTCTCTTCCTCTCTCTCTCTGCCTTTTAATGTGTGTGCGTGTTCCTGTATGTGTAGCCAATTTTCTAGCGTGAAAACTGCTGCGGGCGCGATAGTGATTTAATATCTACCTAGCTCGGCCTCTCACGCCTTCGCTCTCTCTCCAACTCTTTATATATAGCTCTCTCTCTCTAGCGCACAGTGTCTGGCTTTTGCTCGCCTGTTGCTAACCTAATCAAATGAAGTTGTGTCCTGTTTGTTTGTTTATTTTGTCTCAGCTTGTCACGAGCATGGCGAATGTATGTGTGTGTATGGCTGTTAAATTTGGTGTGTGTGTGTGTGTACACTCTAGTGCAACAACAACAGCGAAGAGCAACAGCACTTGATTTCATGCACAAACAGCACGTAACTCACACTGTCTCTCTCTGTACTACATCTATGCTCCCTGTCTGCCTCTCACTTCCACTCAATTTCAATCTGTAATTACTGTTGCTGTCTCTGTCTAGTGTGCTGGCAATGCGTGTTCTGTTTCAAGTGTCATTTGCTTTAATTAAAATTTATTTAAATCGCTTGAGGCATAAGTGCCATAGCCTATAGTCAAAGCTATCAAACAGACAGCGAGAGAGAGAGAGAGAGATAGATATACACACGTTTCAAATCTCAAAGCAAATACAAAATAAATATGTTATCAATAGACATGTGGTTTCAAATGTCAGCTGCATGGATGCATCATTCAAATGAGACACACATAAATATTTCTTATTTCTCTTATCTCGATCTGCATACGTATATAAATATCAACAGCAACAGCAACAATAAATAGACAAATAGACAACGGACAATTCAAATATTTATGACCGCCCTCTGTGGTCGTTCGCTTCTGTTACGATTTGTGTCCTTTTTATTGCCCACCTATGCATAAAATTTCTTTTGTGTGCTGACAATTGCCAGCGTGTGCTCGGGTCCAACAACGAACATTTTTGTTGTTGGCTTGAATTTAAGTTGTAGCACATGGCACTAAAAGCCTGCCTTCAGCTGCTTTAAAGTGGCCACATCATAAAGCTGTCGAGTTGCCTGGCTAATTGCAGTTTTGTGCTTTCAAGCTGTGATTGTAATTGTGATTGGGATTGAGCTTAGAGCTTATTGTTAACTGTTTTGTTTACATATTAAGTGCGGCTCTCAATGTATTACAATTTACATAATAAAAACCATGAGGAATATTAAGATAGAAAACTTTATCTTCACTTTAAATATGCTTAAGCCATAATCTAATAATCAAACTTTACTTTTCTTCTAAATAATAACAATAATTCCCCTTAAATATTTTACACTTGTGTCAACGTTTTCTCCAATGCGCAAAACACTTTTAAACCTACTCAACTTGTCGTATATGAACGGATCACAGATAATAGAATATTTTTAAAAATTGTTATGATTTTTAACTAAATTTCGTCTAGCATATACTTACAGCTTTGCACACAAATGAACAGTTAATATTTAAAAAATCTGCCAACTGCAGAAATGTTCTTAGAATTCCCAATGAGTTCTGGATAAAGCTGCCATAGGTACGTCAAACCCTCGTAGCTGTTGAATGAGTATTACTTATCTGAATTGTGTCGCTGTATTTCTCTCTCTCTCTCTCTCATATACTAAGTATACCAGGTCTAAAGTTACTTAACTCCAATAAACGTATAGGGTATCTCAGCTGTGTTTTCGGTTTAATTTAATGATTTCGTACTTGTGATTTGTTACGACGCTGCTGTTGTCTAGTTGATTTGTTTGGCAAAAATCGTTTTTATTTTTGCGGTGCGCAGAAACATGTATATACACATATATATAGGTATGTGTATGTGTATGTATATCTATTGGCACAACTTAACAACGCTTCGCAAGCTTAGAGTTTGTTTATGCATACACCCACACACACACTTTAAATGAGAAACAAAACCAACGTGGCAACCATAAAGCTGAACCACACACCCACACACACACACACATAAATTTTGTACACTCTCATGTTTGCACAATAAAATTTCAACAATATACGCGACAGGGTCTTTGTACTTGAGTAAATTGGATCTGTGCAATGTGTGGGCGTGTGTGTGTGTGTGGAAGTGTGCGAGGGGTAGTTAACAAAAATTAAATAAATATTTTGCTTAAAGCAAGTTTAAAGCAACACGCCCACAACTGCAAGCAAGAACGTCTCCGTGTCTCCTTCTCTCCCTCTCCCCTACCTCACTCGTTCTATTTGCTGTGATCCCTGAGTTGGCCCCTGGACCCCAGCTAAACATTTTAGGTATTCATGTGTAATCCATTTCGAAATTTGCATGTTTAATGTGCTGTGAGGAATTCTCGTTTCATTTGCCGATTTTTTTCTCTTCTCTCAGCTTTCCTTCATTTTTTACGTATTTTCCTTTGCTGCTTGATAGATAAATTTAGCTAGCTGCCCCTGACATTCGCATTGACTTTGCAGCGTGCATTGTTGCCTGTTTATTGTACACAGTTGTTCCAAAACTTTTCCTCAAGTTGCACATCCAAAGACACAGTTGTACTTCCATATAGGTATTTATAGTATATGTATGTCTGCCTGAGCACAGGTGCGTTATGTGGTGGGGTTTTCGTGGATTGGCATGCCAGCTGTGGCCATTAATGAGAATCCGACAACAAGTGAAGCTTGCTTACAATGCAAACACATTTTCGGGGCCATTGTTTGTGGGACGTATATAACTGCGATAAATTCATACGTAAACGTGATAATTAATTGTGCACAACAGCATGAAAGTCGTTTGCTTAGCATTGTTGGTGCTATTCGCGCTGGTTGCTGTCGGCCGGGCCGCGGGCACAAATCAGAGTCATAGCATTACGTGGGGCAGTCGTGTCTTCCGGGACATGCATCTGGAGCGAGTCATTATCTCAGAGAAATCGAAATTCTTACGCATTGTCACGCGCACCTATAAATTCGAACAAGTTGTGCGTTGCTTCACTCGAGTTTTTTGCCATTGATTTTCTAATTGAAATCTGATTTTTCTCACTAGGGCACTCAGCGTCTCATCACGCAAATTGTGATCACCGATCAGATCAAGAATGGCAACGGCGGCTATGCTCGACTCGAGGCTGGCGGACCCAATGCCAACTTTGCCAAAATCTACTTTAAGAGTCAGCGCAACAAGGAATTCAGCTTCATTGTCGATATTTATGGCATTTAAATTATAATTAATTTTGTCAGTAGTTAAAACAATGCTGATTAATTACAATTTACAGTTGTCTTTATGTGTGCGTGTTTGTGAGTCTATATTAAAAATCATAATGAGAAGGGGTATACCACGTAAATTGCCGTTCATGTGAAAGGTATACTCAGTTGCTATATATAATGAGTGCCAATGACAAGTAAGAGTGTTCTAGTCGAAAGTGCTCGACTAAGAAATACCCTGAACTCTGGCAAATGCTGTTATTTCAATCATGCATAAACGGATATGACCTTATTGACTTCTAACTTTGAGGTGTCTTCCACGCCTTCTTTTGCTTCTTCCATTCCTTTTCACAAAACCAATGTTTGTTCATGTGAAAGGGTGCTTGCTCTAGTGGGACGTGACTGACTAGGAAATACCCTGAACTGTGAGAAGTGCTGTTATTTAAGTCACGGACAGACAGACTTATCGACTTGTTACTTTAAAGCGTCTTCCACGCCTTTTAATAGCTTCAAGGTTTACAAACTATAATGAAGGAGGCGTCACACTATATAAATTGTACTATATGGGAAAGGGAATGACACTCTGTACAATGGGTGTTATATATAAAAGCTATATAAGTAATATATATATATATAAATGAATATATATATATATATATATATATATATATTTATAGCTATCTTTGTTTCTCAGCTCATCTAGTCTTCTCTTTTATACATTCTATTCTTATACAGTTTTTTTTATTTATTTCATGCTCCGTTTAAATATCTATAGGGTATCATTAGGTCGCTCTCCAATGACCTGCCCAGTTTTACTTGTTGTCTATTTGTTTATTTGCTCGCATGCAATATTTACATTTCACAAATAGTCAACCAAAGAACATTATTTAGTCACATGTTTAAAGCATAAACAACGCAAACTGAAAAAGCAGAACACTGTTGATTCGCAGAGGTTGCTGAGTGAACTGTATGGTTGAGGGCCAAGGGATGTTGACCATGATACACATCGTTAAATTGTTTTGCGCATTGTGTATTGTTTTTATTTCTCTGTTTTATTCAGTAATAACTGCATAATTGAATTGAATTTATGGTTAAGTGCAGTTAAATGCTCTTCTATGCGATTTTCATAGACTTCATTTTAATTGAGTTTAAGGCATTTAACTTTTGTTTAATTATACTCAATGACGTCAATTACTTTTTGTGTGCAAAAGAAAGGCGAAGCCATTTGTTTACACAAGTTGAATGTGAGTAGTTCTAGCTTTTAATCAGATGAATATAATGCGATTTTTTATATTCTATCTGGCTCCGTCGCGCTTATTCTTTCGCTATTGTTTTTAATCTCTTCTCTTGCTTTCTGAATTTTAATTCTTTCACATTGAATCTCACTGACGCTCCGTGTTTTCTGTTTCTTCTCTATTCTTTGGTCTTCTTTCTGCACTCTCCTCTTTTTCGCTCTTCTCTTTATTTCTTTCTCCTCTCGCTGCGTCTCTTTTAGCTCTTGCTATTTCTTTTATCCCCTATGATTTCCTCATTAAGTTTCTTATATTTCCAACATATGTTGCCTTTCTATGCGATTTTCATAGATTAAAGTAAGCCAAAAAGATTTTGTATATGACTTTAAGTTGAGCATTTGTCTATAGCCAATCTGAATGTTGAAGAAACTTTAATTCATAACATAGATACCTAAACTCTAACTGCACAAATATCATTAAGTAATCAAATCTAAAGTTAAATCCACTACAAATCAATTTCAAAGGTCATATACATATATAGGTCAGCAAGCATTTAAGTCTGCTGAAAGTCCAGCAGTCGATGGCTGTGTCTATTAAACTAACCTGCAGAAACAAATGCTTGCTGTCAATTAGGCGCACATGCTGCACTTATTTACAATTCTAAATAATTAAGCTGTACGACCTTAGCTTTAGGCTTAACTTAACTTTAGTTGGAGTTGTGCTTAGTGTATGTATTTAGTTGATGTTTTGGGAACGAGAGTGGCAGCTGCTCAGCGCTCAATTCCATTTCATTAGGCAAAAGACGTGGTCTAGTGTGAGAGATGAATATATAGGAGCGTAATTAAGGGGCATTAAATTAAACGATGCAGCCGCAATTTTGGTCGAGCAAATGAGAAAATATTACACATAATGTTTGAGTGTATGAATGTATGAGTGTGTGTGTGCGTGTGTAAGCTACAGGCTGCACGAGAGCTTCTATGGCATTTGCCAAATGCCAGGCACTTAAACTTAACCCATGAGGCACAGCCCCCGCCTTGGTCTGTCTCCCTTTTTCTGTGCTGTTGCAAAGCTCAAACAAATCCAATCAATGTTACAGCTTTATACACACATCCAATAAGTGTGAGGGTGCGTGTGTGTGCGCGTGTGTGTGTATGCAAATAAGTGCTGTGTGGCATATAAAATTTAATGTGCTGCCTGCCTCAGACTTTGCTCTCTTGGCGACTTTTGCTGTTGTTGCTGTTGTCATTTAGGATTTAGGATCAGCCATTGATGCGTGTGCAGCCCATCAATCGTTGCGAATTAAAATTTTATTATGCCAGCAAAACACGATTGCACATGCATGCGATGAGTTTGCGTATACGTTGCGTATACGTAATACTCATTACGTATACGTTCCATATTTAGTGCTGCAATGAACATTTGAATGCAAATGCTTGCCTTTTAAAACGTTTGGGGCCGCCATCAGCATGAATAACCAATTGCTTGAGCTTAAGCCGAGGGGTCGAGCCAAGCTGTCCATTAAATGCCAGCAGACTATAACTAATACTCTTAGTAATACTCTTAGTCTAACACGCTCACAACTTCCACGAAGGCCAAAGACAATGAAGCGTGAATGCGCAAATTAACTGCAAAACACATGGAGCACTAACCTGGCATGAGCCAGTCCTAAAGGTTGGCGTGGACAGCTAACGTTAGTTAGCGAGGGTGGCTTCTAAAGTTGCTCACTAGTGTAGTTTAGAAGAGGGAAGAATGTCAATTAAAGTTAGTCTTACTTTTCGGTAGAGTAAGAGTCAGGAGTAGTTCTTTAGCAATACTTTTAATGTCGAGGGCTGCTCTAAAAGCTGCTGTAAGAACAAAAAAAAAGAACAGCTAAACTGAAGTCAACTCCAGACTTAATGAATATCTATATAAAAGTCAAACTCATTTATATACTCAACTAATATATACATTTCTTTAGTATGTATGTATTAACTGTACTTAGAATAGTAAGAGAGCTTAAACTTGAGCCAACTCACAACTCTTTCTGCTTTACTTTTTCATTAATAATCGAAACAAGAATCAAGATCTGCCCTCGTGGCGTCCTCGCAACACTCTCGCACCTGTATAACCGTTAGTGACAGTGTTTTTCATGCACTTTTGGCTGGCATTCAAGGATAATGCAGCAGCGAGTGTGCAAGTATTTTATAGTTTGTGCCAAACACACACACACACACACACATACCAACGCAGCACATCTTCCTGCGCTGTTTGTGCCACTTTGTGAACCCATCGTTCAATAACAACATTGTGCTTCACTAGCCAAACCTCTCTATAGCCTCCGATACCTCTTCTCTCGTTTTCTCTGCCCCCATTGACCACGCCTCCGCTGTTGGGAGTTTATAAAGCGCCATACATTATGCAGGTTGTTTGTTATCGTTCGATAGAGTGTAAATTATGGCACAAGTTGCCAGCGTGGCTGCAGCAAGTCTGGCGCAAGCAAAGCTAACGGGTCACACAGATGTGCATATATATGTGTCAGCATATATGGTTGCAAAAATCCTAATTGAGCCAGCTAGTTGAACTCTAAATGGAATTTATGTTTCTGCATATTAATTTCAATTATGTGCACTCTCTTTTCCCCCTCTCTGGCTCCTTCTCTATCTACGCTGTCTTTTGTGCTGCAAATGTTTTGGTTTTAAAAGTTTATTTTTTTAAGCAAAATCCTATTAAGTTTAAGGAGCTGAAAAGCGCTTTTAAATCCATATATATAACTATATATATATATTTGTGCAGTTGCTTTGGATGCGCGTTTTGCTTGTGCAATTGAAAGGAAACTTTTCTATGGCTTTCGCCCAGCTCTCGTTCAAGACTGTGCAATCGAATGCCTCGCCTGCTGCTCGTATCAATGCAGCTTGAAGGGTTTTATGCAGATTTCCATTTGACTTTGTCTCAAATGTGCACACACTCACAGACAAAAGATAAAACTTAGTGGCAACTCAACCTCTGCCATAACCCTCCCGCTATCCCCTCTCAGTGCGTCGTTCATTTTACAGCCAATTTTGTGCTCCTTAGACTACCCTGTCTCCGTGCCCACTATTTAACAAGCCTGTCCATGTTCTCTATCCTTGTGCATGCTCTTGACCTCGTTGCGGTTTGCCTCTGTGTGTGTTCCCCTTCTCTTTAGCTGTTTCTTTTTCATCTTGTCATCGCGTCTTTGTTAAGCGCATAAAGTGTGAAAGTACATGGAAAAGGATTTCGGTTGCTGTCCCGAGAGACTTTTGTTTTTCAATTGCCATTTGCAATATTTGCCGCAATTGTTGCAGCTGTTGTTAGCAACGAAAAGACAAACACACAAACCCACTTTAAAGTGTTCGACTTCGTTTGGGCAACGAATGCAGCTTGTCTTGGCTTAGCTTGGCGTGCAACACAGCACAGTTTGGATAGAACTGCAGTTATAACGCTGCCGGCTGTCTTATCAGTTGCTATTTATACCCTGTGGACGTGCTTGCCAAAGGGGTCGATTGATTTTTATGTCTTGATGTAAGCTCAGGCTTTGCCTTCTACGTATTTTGTTGAGTATTTGAATTGCTATTCATTTTGAAAGTTGTGAGAATTTCTAGGCGTTAAATTGCCTTTGGTTAAAAGTTGAGACTGTGATATGAATTTAAGTATTAATTCAGTCTAATTAACTGGTAAAGATGGCATCGACTTTTTACACAAATTTTTATTCACTTCTAAAACTTTGCTCTATAAGCTTAAAGCAGTCTGTTTCATGCTCTGTCAAAAACATATTTCATTATAAGCTTTAAACAGGGTATCTTTCAGTCTAGCACATTGACTTTCAGAAATCAATTGAATGGCTTATAAAACTCTATCACTCTATAAGCTGCACGCAGGGTATTTTGTAGTCAAGCACTCTCCTTTTAAGCTCTCTTCTTTATGCATTTCGAACATCAAGCGGAAACTGTCAGCTTGTTATGTGTGTGAGCATGTGTGTGTGAGTGTGTGAGTGTGTGAGTGTGTGAGTGAGTGTGTGTGTGAGTGTATGTGTGTGTGCAGACATTCACTGCACATCGTTACTTTGCGAGTGTTTTTTGGATTTCCCACTCGACTTGAATCATGCTTATCAAGTGTAGCTAACAATGTGCTCTCTGTGTGTGTGTGTGTGTATTTGTGTGCGTATGTGTGCATGTTTGATTGCCTACAGCTGTTTTTCCGGCTAGCAATTTCTACTTCTCAAGCTGTTGGTGCCATTTCTACAGCATTTTCTGCTACTTTTCTCAGCCATTTGTAACGTGGCGGCGTCTTAATAAATTGCGAATCAGTCGCCCCTAGTTTGCCCCTTCGATTGGCCCAATGCAACGCGTATGGTGCACACATGAATTGCAAATCATTGTGTATTTAGAATCTAGATCACACAACGGGCCTTTGGTCATTAGGTAACTGAAAGAAGACACAACAAAATGTTCATTTCATTTCAATTCGACTTTATTTACATTTCCAAGCAGAACAAAACAAAAATTTGTTCATTATGACTAGCCCTGCTTGGGTCGCAGGTGTTTCTTCTTTGGTATCTTTGTATAGGTCTTGACATAGAAATTGCCAAACATATACATCATGAGCATGGCCTGAAAACCTAGTAACATTATCAAACCTTTGGGGAAGTTGCAATTCTCGGCAAAGATCAGCACATACGCCGAATAGGAGAAGAGCAATACGAACTGTACGAGTTGTACTATCGTTATATACTTCTTCCACCAAATGTTCGACTTGACGCCCGGATAGTACGCCGACAGGAAGTAGTAGAAATACATGATGGCATGCACGAAAGTGTTGAGTAGGCCCAGGACGTTGAAGTGACCACCGGTGCCATGGAATCGCATAACCAAATAGCATCCTAGGAACATTATCCCGTGATGATAGAGATGCAGAAATGTGATCTGCTTGTAGCTCTTGCGCAGCACAAAGAATATCGTGTCCAGCAGATCAATTATCTTATTGATGTAGTAGGCATAGTGGAGGTAGCGCTCCACGTTTTTGTGCTGATGCCCAAAGGGAAAGGTTTCCATGCAGTGCAGATTGCAAATGCCTTCAATGATCAAAAAGTAGAATGTCTAAAATGCGAAACAAGAAGAAGAGCATTAAACAAGCTTCCTTTAAATCCCATCTGACGTTAGCTTTGTTTACTGACAACAGCAAAGACGATGAGGTTGTATGCCACCTGGCCAAGATTGTAGACGCGTAGCACTTTCGTCAAATCGTACGGTTCTCGATTTCGCATATAGATCTTACCCACTTTTAAGACGAATATAAAATAGCTTGTGAGTATCAGAAAGATCGGCCATGGTGAATCTGTCAATGGCAAGGGATGGGGATCTGCAGAAATATATATGTAATTGATAGATCTGATTCAGCTCTTTGCACTCCGTATATATAGATATATATTATTTACTCTACCAGGTGATGGTATATTAAAAATGCTGAGCATGGTTGAAAAGCACTTTTCGTCGATTGAGCTTGAAATACGATTTGCGAATGAACGCGAATGTCAAATGCATTGAAAATCTACTTCAATTGATTTTTTGTAGTCCGGCGTTACACTGAAAAGAGCTGAAAAGGCGAGACAGAATTGGCACAGAATACGAATAATTAAAGCTTTTGAAGAAGGTATAGACGAATAGAGAAATTTGAACAAAAGCTTTATGCGATTACGGATCATTGATATTTATAAGATGCGCACAGAAATCTAATCGAAATTAGATATTCCCTTAACCCAATTAAGCACAATATGCGTTAGTTACTTCTGCCTCTGTTCGTGTTCAAGTTCAGACTCAAGGTTGCAGAGAGTCCAATCCATACAAGTAGTACGAATATTGTTGTGTTGTTTAGCTCAGATACCACATCTGATTACACAATAATATAAATGAATATAAAAGTCTGAAGAATGCCACGCTTAAGTCATATTCTTTTATTCCATTCAGATTCTTTAATATAAAAAACAATTTAATTTCTATAGATTTTTCTTCGATTTTGGCCTAATGTAGGAATTGAAGTAAAATTTACTAAACAAAACTAGCATGACTATTGCCTGAAAGAGTTGCATATACTGCATAAAGATGGGAAACTGGCAGCTCGGATTGAAGATGAGAACAATCAACGACTGAACAAGTACAATGGCAAATTGAATTAACTGAATTATGGTAATATACTTCTTCCACCAGAGATTGTCCTTAAGATTCGTATTCAAGGCGGATATAAAGTAGTAGGAGTACATAACGCTATGGACAAAGGTATTCAATGTTCCCATCACATGAAATTGCCCAGAGCCGCCGTATAGACGGAATACCCAGAATGTGGAATAAACCATCATCACATGATGGTAGACATGCAGAAATGTGATCTGCTTATAACTCTTGCGCAGCACAAAGAACACCGTGTCCATCAGGTCAAGGATCTTGTTCAATAGGTACAAATAAACCAGCGTACGCTCGGTACTCTTTGAGGGGTGATCAAGTGGGAGACGTTCCATGCAATGTAGATTGTAAACGGGATTGAGGAGGATCATATCGAGTCCCTGCAACATGCAACTTAATAACTTATCAAATCAGCAAGTCACTCCCAATACGTACATAAACAAACAATACGAAATTGAAGATCACCTGTCCCACGTTATAGACCAACATTACGTTCTTTAGATTGTACGGATTGCGGTGCTCCATAAAGCTTTTTCCCAGCTTCAGTACAAATACTAAATAGCCGACCAAAATAAATGTCACAGTCCATGGCGAGTTCACCAACGTCATGGAACTGACCAGGACAGGATCTATTCAAAAACAAAAATATTTAAATGGTTAAATTAGGCACAGAAACAAAGAAAATTGTTTGTTGCACCTGGTGGAGGTCTATTCCAAACTTCGATTAAGTCGATACCCATTTTGCTGAACTATATTCCACAGCTCTACACGTTTCTTTCGGAAAACTCAGTGACTTGCGCGCTTCAACTGCGACTTCAAAATAGAAATCAACACCCAGCAACAGCGACTTAAATGCTGCAAATGAGTATGTAGAACTGAATTATACAAAATTCGACATTAGACCAAAACTGCACGACAATTGAATGCTCTACCAAAGAAGTTGATTGAGTCTTAAATTCGAGACTTGGAAAATCCGTAACGCAAGCTTAGTTAATTGATAATTTATGATTTGATATATGTCTTCAACTATGCGTTACATCTTTAATTAGCTAATTCAAATATCCAAATTTTATAGGGCAGTGATATTCAAATGGAAAAAAATTTAAGTCATGCATTGATTAACTATTTGCAAGTAAATTTTGTTGACAGATACCCTATGAAAAAAAGAATATAATTAATATATTCCTCAAAATCTTATTTACTTATATATAAATAAATAAATAAATAAATATATATATATATATATATATATATATATATATAATATCAATGATAATTGATGTTTTACTTAAGGGATGTCCTTGATTTATATTTTAAATATATATATATATGAAAAATTTAGAGAATTTAGCTCTTCAAATGAACAGAGATGTGGTCAATTATGACATGACATTAATATGAGAGTATCTCTGCTTATTTATCGAGCTAGAGCCTCTAAGTCTATACATTTTTCTGACCATTTTAGCGATTTGAACTAAGCTCTTCTGTAGGAGAACCTACATATAAAATTTCCAGATCAGCTCTTTAAGCTGAGCTCAAAACGCTCAAAGCTCAAAAACTTTTTCACTTGAATCAAACCATTAAGAATTATGTACAGTGTTGGAAAATGCAGAATAGGCAAACAGTTTTTCTCTAAATCTTAAATACACTCTGTACATTGTTTATATTTCGCAATTATATATTTTAGATCTAATATTGGGGTTTTAAAGCAATATTAGATAAATTACAAATTGTTTACTGTGTTTTCTGTTCTTTGGACTTTACGTAAGTCTTATAGTAAAATTTGCCAAACATCACGGCGAATATTGTACTCTGAGCTATCTGCATAAATTGCATAATAATTGGAAATTTGCAAGTCGGATTGAATATGAGCACAAATACTGCTTGGAAGAACAGCAAAACAAATTGTAACAATTGTAGCCGAGTTATGTACTTCTTCCACCAGAGACTGCCCTTTAGTTCGGGATAAAGAGCCGATATAAAGTAGTAGGAGTACATCACGGTATGCACGAAGGAGTTTAAAAATCCCATCATGGCGTATTGACCGCCCGTTCCGTAGACTCTTACTACCCAGTACATGAAAAAGAACATATTGATATGATGGTATGTATGGAGTACAGTTATTTGCTTGAAGCTTTTGCGCAACACGAAGAACACGGTGTCCAGCAGATCGAGCATCTTGTTCAAAAAGAAGATATATGTTATCCAGCGTTCACGAGTCTTCAGCGGATGATCGAGCGGGAAGGTATGCATGCATTTATTATCGTACGCAGGATTAATGATGACATAGTATATCCCCTGTAAGAGATTATTTGCTATATATAATTGCTCGAACATGACTTTGGCTGCGGCCGATACTCACATAGCAAAACATTAGGGCATTGTAGATCACTTGAACGATGTTATAGACAAGCATTAAAGTTTTAACGTTATATGGCGGTCGATTCTTCATGAAAATTGGTCCAAGCTTCAATACAAATATTATATATGATAATGAAATTATCACGACTGGCCATGGTGAGTTGAACAGTAGGAATTCCTTGGTTCCGGGATCTGCATAAGTATACTGTTAAGAATTTGTATCATTTGTATGGATTACACAGGCCAACACGCCTCTACGTTTGAAGTTGCCAAATTAGAGCTCGCTCATCTAGTTTCAGATTCCGATTTGCTGACCTGTGTTACATTACAAGTCATACCTGCTCGTGGAACTTCAAAATAACTAAGGAAAGACATCGTGATCGGAATTTGGAGCTTTTCCGGAATTTGTTGTGATTAGATCCGAACGAAATTCAAGACTGAGTCAATAGAAAAGGCATAGACGCAATCAAAGTTCTGCAACAGGTTCTTGCAAGTTACTTCACGGTCATGCAAGGTCTGCAAATAGTCGTTTTTATTAAGGAAAAGATAGCGCTTTATTTTACATATCGTATATACTGGGTGGTATATAGAGTTTCTATATATCTATATAGTAATATATATACTTAAATATATATACAAATGTGTATATCTATATAGGCGTAAAACCCTGTGATTATTCAAAATTTTAGCAAATCAAATTACTTGCGTGCAACCGACTTCTTAATACTCGTTCACGCTTTACACGTTGCTAAATTGATAAAAACAAATTTCTGAACTTTGATTCGAACTCGCATCTTCCCAATTAATTTGTAATTTTACCACTAAGAAAAGCAATTAGTTTTAAAAAAAAAATAAATTCGTCTTTGCCTAGAATCGAACCTGCGTCTCCGCGACCACTTGCCTGCCTAGTCTCTCTAGTTGGCAAACGAGCTCACTAAAAAAAAAGTTATCTTTTTCAAGATTCAAACCCGTGAGTCAACTAGGAGATGACATTTTTGCCGACGTCTCAGTCTGCAGCGCCATTATAACCATTGTAAATGAAGTGAAAAATGCAAAAATAAATACCAAAGCAATACAATGAGAATTGCGATTCTATTAATTGAATTATATATGAATATATGTGTGCACATGAACAGAAAATTGCCTAAGCTTGGAACTGCAAACGATACTTTCCACACGATAAGCACGATAAGCTCGTATAAATAAAGCTCGATAACGTAATTGTTCGATTTCATGAAAAGGGAACAGTTTTCAATCATTTTAAATAAGCTTCGTGAGAATTATAAGTCTCTAACTCGCATAAGCTCCGAGATCAATTGTTCATATATACGAAAAGTTGAAATAATGGACGAATGCACAGCTTAACGGACATAGTTAGATCTAATAATCAATTTTGTAGTTTACACAGAGATTCACACTTGAATTTGTGACAAATTGTTTGAAATTTTTCTTTTAATTTTATATATAAAATAATTCACGAAATTCAACAGAGCCCCATTTTGTTTTATTTGAAGCAGAGTAAAGCCGAGCTGAATAGAAACAAATTGTATGGCTATAGATCGATTGAAGCATTAACGAAGGTGTGTCCAAGTTGTGCGCTTTTACTTCATATTCATTAATTGTTGTTTCAATTTAAATGAGGTTAAATTATGACTTAATTATGCATATGTTTTACAGATCAGAAATGCCGAAACATTCTTAAAATTTAACCGGAAACATTTAATTTTACAACATAATGAATGCAGTTCATTTTTACTGAAACCGTAATGAATGTGCTTGCCGATTGATAGCACGATATGTAATTTATTTTAATAATATTTAAATAAATTTTAATAATAAAGAAACTTTAGGGCCTTGCGCAGGTCAGTGCTAGCATTTCTTTATAGCTATTCTATATTTGTTTATTTTAAATAAATCGATACGATTTTCTGCCTTGAACAATTGTGAAAACTTCTATGTATACATAATAAATTTACTTTGTTTTAATGCTATTCCAATTCTTAAATTCTAGCAATTCTCAAGAATTTTCATGTTGAGGTCTTTCAATACGGAAAAACATTTTAAGAAGTTTTTCACTGCTCTTTTACTTGTTTGGGCTTGATGTAAGCATGATAGTAAAAGTTGCTGAACATGGCAGTAAAAGTTATAGCTACCGCCAGCTGCATATAATGCAGTAGAGTTGGAAATCCACAAGTCGGATTGAATATGAGCACAAATGCTGCTTGGAAGAATAGCAAAATAAATTGTAACAATTGTAGCCGAGTTATGTACTTCTTCCACCAGAGACTGCCCTTTAGTTCGGGATAAAGAGCCGATATAAAGTAGTAGGAGTACATCACTGTATGCACGAAGGAGTTTAAAAATCCCATCATGGCGTATTGACCGCCCGTTCCGTATATTCTCAATACCCAGTACATGCCATAGAACATGATGACATGATGGTATATATGTAGTATGGTTATCTGCTTGAAGCTCTTTCGCAAAACGAAGAACACGGTATCCAGCAGATCGAGCAACTTATTCAGAAAGAAAACGTAGGTTATCCAGCGCTCGGAGGGCTTTAGCGGATGGTTGAGCGGAAGGGTTTCCATGCATTTACAGTCATACACCGGATTAATGACGATTCGATACAAGCCCTTTAAATAAATGCTTATGGAATGGCTCTAATGTAAATTTGAATAATATTAATACTTACATAAGAAAAGATAAATCCATTGTAGATCACTTGAAGGATATTATAGACAAGGATTATGGCTTTTACGTTATACGGCTTGCGATACTTCATGAAAAATGGACCGAGCTTTAGCACGAATAGTAAATATCCCAAACAAATTAGAGTCGCTGGCCAAGGCGAGTCCAATAATGGGAATTCCTTTGTTCCAAGATCTGCATAAGTATTACTGTATAAGATCCTTGTCATATGGAGTGCTTCTGTAATAATTTTTTACCTGCCCGTGGAATTTCAAACCTATCAAGAAATTTCATCATGATTCTAATTTCTTTTTCCCGATGTAGTTCCGATTAGATCAGCACGCAATTCAAGACTGATTACATTAAAGAGCTGCACGCAAAAGGAAAAGAGATTAACTCGATATCAAATATATAGTCGAAATTTTAAATTAGTTTTATTCATTCATTGGGGTTCTTTAATTTGTTATCGTATAAAACCGATTGCATAATACTCGTTCACGATCGAAAAACAAACGAAACTTAATAATCACACTTCCTGTGATCCAATGATGTCGATGACATAAGGCTTACGAATTTTTTACCACGACTAAGTCTCAAAAACATATGTCGAAGTTTACGAAAGGTAGACGACCGATAAGAGAATATAGGTGAGGCATAATATATACATTTTAGGTATAGCCGACTTTAAATATCTTGAATGATATTTCTTATGCAATATACCAAATTCACTGCTTGCAATACTAAATATGTGAAACAAAATGTGAATGAGGCTGTACTCCAGAATTTTGTTGACTTAATGGCTTATTCCCATTCTTCCTGGTTTTTTCTAGATCCTATATTGTAGCCCCTCTAGTAATTAAAATGCAAATCGTTTTCATATCATTCTAAATTTTTGTGTTGCTCAAGTATTTCAATGTTGACGTCAAACAACACATTTTTAATTGTATACTTAATGAGGAATATATTGTATATCGAATTCATTTAAACAATTCTCAATAAACCTCATTAAACAGCTTAAGCCTGACTTTTTGTACGACACGTGGTGTCAAAGTGTGCCAAGTGAATTGTAAGTGAAAAATTATAAAAAAAATCAAAAATTAAATCAAAGATTGGAATATTTTTCTTTGATTTTTGTAGCTTATTGTAAGCATTATTGAGCTTCGCATTTATCGAACGCATAATATTCGTTCAAGGCCTTTAGATATAAACGATTTCATTAAGAAATTCCGTTGCCGAAATAATTTAAATTGATTTGCACAGAAGGAGGGGAAATAATGTGAAAGTGCACTGGGTAGTGGAGAGTGCACGACTAGAAGATATCCGGAAATTAGCAACGAATGTTTAATTGATAGAAAAGTCTCTTTCTGTAACTAGACAGATATTCCAATAAATATGAATTTAGATTTGAGAAGAATTTAATTTAATAAAAGTAAAACTGAAATATGTAAGTTTCACTTAGCATAACTTACCCGAAATTCATAAAAATATTAACACAATTTGAATTTAGAAAAACATTTTTTGGGTATACTACGAAACAATTATATGCCTTAAGTTTCAAGGCTGTGGCCTGAATTTCCGTTCAGAAGGTTAAAGTCTAGCTATTAAATCAGACCTATGTTAATGTGCGATCGATTTAGGTAGTCATTTTATGCAATTCGATTTCTATATACAAAAATAATAGAATAAGCGAACGATTTTGATACATAATTTATATATATTTATTCAGTTCTTTTCTTTGGCTTGACATATGCTTTGTAATAGAAATTGCTGAACATGACTATCATGACAGTTGACTGAAATATCTGTTGCCATTGCATGAATAACGGAAATTGGCAGCTGGGATTATATAGTAAGACTATAATGCTTTGAACTAAATATATCATGAACTGTATAATTTGTGTGATAGTTATATACTTCTTCCACCATAAGCTCGCCTTCATTTCCGGTCGCAGGCCCGACACGAAGTAGTAGAAGTACATAGTGAAGTGCACTAACGAATTGCATAGTCCCATCGTGGAGTATTGGCCGCCGACACCGTACATTCGTATTACCCAATACATGCAGAAGACCATCATTGCATGATGGTACACATGGAGCACTGTGATCTGCTTGTAGCTCTTGCGCAGCACAAAGAATATCGTATCCAGCAGATCAAATATCTTGTTGATAAAGAAGGCATAGCTAATCCAGCGCTCCACCGACTTTATCGGACTGTCCAGCTTAAGGGTCTCCATGCAGCTTTTATCGTATACATTAACGATGAAAATGTAATAGAAAATCTTTAAAGAGAAGTTAAAGTTGTTGATGAATTGATGAGGTTTGAATACTTGCCAAAAGAAACATTGTCGCATTATAGATCATCTGGCAGATGTTATAGATGAGTATTACGTTCTTCAAATTATACGGCTTGCGATTCTGCATGAATCGGGGTCCGATTCTATAGACGAATAACAAATATGCTGAACAGATGCATATCACAGGCCAGGGCGACGTGAGCAAATACACTTGAGCTGTCCAGGGATCTATATAGAGAATTTGTTCTAATTAGTATATATCCGAGTGTAAGGTCAGCCAAAGTCCTTTGCCTTCTCGCCGGAACTCAAACATGTTGGAGAAAGTTGAATTCGATGCGTGCATATCCGAGTATTAAGCGCGACTGAATAGACAAATTTGTTGGGTTTTTAGTCATTTGGCCTATTTATACACTGAGCATATTCAAAGTGGCATTGCCGGGTATATTGGGTTTGTGAAACTGGCAGAACAAGGTGTAGCAGAGCCCATGGGGTATATATGTAAGATTCATGATGAGGACGATATGCTGAGTCCATCTAGCCATGTTCGGCTGTCCGTTCATATAAGCGCAAAGAACTATATTTGATCTATCAGCTTTTGGCAGGGTTCAGGGTATCCGCTAGTCGTTTACTCCCGACTGGCACACTCGTACTTGTATTAGTTCCCGCTTTTGTGCTTATGTTAATTTATACACATTTTTCTGCATAAATACATTAATTAATGTATTGAATTAGTTCTTGATCGAAGTGAAACAGTATATAACAATGCCTAATGTTCTCTGACCTCTTTTTTACAGCTGATGGGGCTGCAATGGGCAACAAAAGCAGCAGCTGCTGGGCCTACACTGAAAACAATGTTGATGATCAATCAATCTAACTGGCTGCCTGTGCAGCTTTTGCATATGCGAATGCAATAAAATTTAAGCTGAGCGAAGCAGCCGCTGCCTTAAGTGCTGCAACGGAAAAGCTACTGATTGCAACTGCAACTGCAGCTGCAGCTGCTGAGAATTTAATTAAGGACACAAAAGCGAGCTCGACCAAAAAAAGAAAAAAGGGCAGGAAGGGAAAGAAAAAAGTAGGCGTGGGCGCGGCAGTTGCCATAAATCAGCCACTGCTGGTGCGCGGTGGGCAGCAGTGGAAGCAGCCTTTCATTGAAGTTCAACCTAGGCCAGGCAACGACCTCAAAGCAGCGAGCAGACGTTTGGGGCGCCTTCCTGCCGCGTACGTGCGGCCAGCAGCTGGCCAATTAGTCGCCGCCTCCGAACAGCCAGCGGTAATAATTTTGGCTCCATTGAACGTCAGCCTGATGACTGCCGCCAAGAGACGTGCAGCAACTGGCAGCAGCAGCAGCAGCAGCAGCAACAGCAACAGCAACATCAACAGCGAGCAGCAGCCATTGCAGCAGCAGCAGCAGCATCATCATCATCATTCGTATCAGGATGCGGATCAGCAGGCGCACGAGTACCAGCAGCTGTTGCAGCATCAACATCATGGCCATAATCAACACCAGCAGCAGCAGCACCATCAGCAGCAGCAGCTGCACCAACATCATCATGCACAACAATACCACCAGAGACAACAGCAGCAGCAGCAGCACCAGCAGCAACAGCAGCATCATCAACAGCATCAGGCATCCGCATCAGCAACGGCGACACTGCGCGATTGTTCTGTCAAATTGCCGCTGGACATCCTGTGAGTATTCTCAGCACTGAGCTGAGCTGTTGGCTGAGCTATCATTAAGGGTGTGAGTGGGGTATCTCGTTTAGATTAGAGCTGCATATTCCCCTTGGGCTAATGCTGATTCAGGCGCTCCCTCGACCATGAGACTTGTTAAATCAGTTATGTCCTGTAAAAAAGACTGAGCTAAGGGGTATTTCGATTAGAAGGAAGTGTAAGGTAGAATATAGGCAAGAGTTTATGTTAAAAGACCTGTAGATATATTTACATTTTGCTCAATTCAATCCCAATTCTAGCAGCAAATTGCTTAAGTAATATAAACATATCCCAATTTAATTTAAAATTATACAATTTCTTCTAGAATCTGATATGAATTATTACATTTTCATTAAATCAAAAGAAAATATAAAAATTCTCAATTTGGAATCTAAGCATCTCCCCCATATCCTAGGGTATCTATTAGCCATTCACGGAAGCTCGACATCCCCTGTTAGAAATAGCAATGTCAAATGTAGAGAAAAAGTCAATGTAAGCACGTCTCATGCTTTCATAAAATTTACATTTGAACGACTCGAATGAAAATTGCATTCATGTTAATGCCTGGACAACAATTTTCAAAGTCAATTTCAACAGCTAGACATGTATATATATATATATATATGTATTACTTTGTCGATAAACCTTTTATTGTAGGCCAATTAATTTTGGAAATTACATGACAGGCATGTCGCCAAGCTGAGATATACAAAGTTGAATATATTAAGAGAAGCATATAAAGCAGCATTAAAGGGGATAGAGGAAATATAATCGAAGCTTCATTGGAGTTTAGCTGAAAAGCTGTGGCAAGTATTTATAATAGTTGTAAGTGTAAACAGGTGTAACAGGGTTTTTTATAGCCTCAGAAACAGTTGGCAAAGTTATTTTTAAAAAAGAAACATTAAAAGTAAATAACAGAAATATAAAAATATTCAAAGTATAAGACAAGAATGGTTCTAGAAACATCAAAGCTTAAAAGATTTAAGATATTTCTACAAGACTCAGCACAAGCCTCTAGTCCTAGAGATTAATTAAAAAGTTACTTATTCATACTTAATGATTCAAATCGACCAAATCGTATGCAACTTAAAGCTAACAGAGACCAAAAGTATTGATGTGATAAGTCCAAGTTATAAGCCAGCATAGAGTTAATGCATTTAGAGATATTTTAAGCCAGTTGATTTAGACTTAGCACCTCGAATTGAAAGGTATTATTTAATACTCAAATAATAATAATATTTATTTTATTTAGCCTTGTCTTATTTCACATTTCAAAGCTTCGTTTCAAGACTAATATAGCTCTATATACGATAAGTAGTAACCACGACTTTCATTTCCCATGCCCAGCCCATTTTTAGTTCACATTTCAAAGCTGCTTAAGTCTGCTTGAACTGTCCTCATTTATGCCCCAAAGTTCCCAGCTTGTTATTCACTTTTAATTGAAGAGCCACCTCAAATCATATCTGTGTGCTGCATTGAATGGATAAATGTAAAAAGTTGGTATTATTAATTGCCGGAGCTGCTGCTGTTGAGTTCGTGTTGAGGTTTTTGGCTAAGTCTTTAAGCCGCTTGCCAGCGAATTGCTGGGAATGTCTGAGCTCGTTTAAAACAAAGTCAACTTGGCTGGGATTTAAGTTGTTTAAGCTGCCTGCAGGCGGCGAGCAAAGGACAATGGAGGGCATGGAGTTGCAACGGGGCTGTCAACTCGAATGCGTGACAGCAGCTGCAGCAGCAGTAGCAACCACAACAAGCAGCAGCAGCAGCAGCAGCAGCAGCTGCAGCTATAATAACACAAGCTACCGGAGCAACAACAATAACAGGAGAGTCAAAGGGAAGCGTTGCGTTTATGCAGATGCCAACTCAAGTGGGTAGCCAGCCACGCCTACCCGAAACGAGGCCAGGCGACGTCCAATAGAGTGCACGTGTGTGTGTGTGTGTAGAGAGAAGTTAAAGCATGCCACAGCCGCGAGACGTCGCGCCGTCTGTGTGTGGAGAGAGCAGTTGAAGCAGACAGAAGTTTGAAAATGTGTGAAGTGACGCCTTGTGGGCTGCAGCACACTATGCCACACCACACGCTGTGTCGTTACTTTTAACGAGGTGTCGCAGGCAAAACTCGGCCAACAGGATGGAACGCCAGCTATCAGCTACCAGCTGCCAGCTGCCAACTGCCTGTTGCCGTGCCTGTTCCCCTGCCCGGACCGTACTCTAAACATCAAAGCCACCTTTAAGGCTAGCTATATATAAATGCACTTAGCCAGCCGTTGCTGCTGCTGCTACTGCAAATGAAGTCATCCATTAGACGAGCACAACGAACGTACGAACGAACGTTACGTATACGCGACGTATGGCAGCGAAGTCATAATGCGAGCCGTGTTTTTGCTGCGGTCTAAGCGGAAACGTTTATAATGGAATTCGCTTAAGCGCTGACAAGCGAGCCTTTTGATACAGCAGCAGCGACGGCCACGAATGGAGTTTCTTTCAGGCAGGTGGCAGTTGGGACACCTAACGCCTAACCTGAAGCCGATGTCACCTCTTGCTAATTTCTGCAAGCAGTTTTTCGGTTGGCGCTTAGTGAGTCATCGGCATGCGGAGTTTAACACTTTGAGGGCAGGAGGCTGTCGCTGGGGCTAGCACTTTAATTACTCAGCGCCAGTTAAGGCGGGAATCTAATTAGCTTAGCGACAAGGCGACTGCCATTGAAAGCGAGCGTCGTCCATTAGATTAATTGAGCCACGAGGCTATACTTTTACAGTTACTTTCGAGTGCCACAGCGATCCATTAACACAGATATATATTTCAATTGTAATTGCATATCGACGGTGCACAGCGACTATACAATTTGTGTTTAGTCATTGCAATGTGCTAAAGGAAAGGGCAGTTAATTCTGGGAATAACTAAAAATAACAAAAAATCAATGTAAACGAATCCTTTGACATTTGAGCCAATCGCGCTGTCAATGGAAAACGAGTAAACGTGGAAAGTAGAAAGAGTTTATCTCTGTTGATGATTTATTCAGCGCACTTTCCCGAACTATAAATAATTTATCTCCGAATATTATACAGATGTAAATATTTTCAAGTAAGCAAAGCCCAAGTAAAGCTTTCAGCTGTACATGAAACGAATACCTTTTGAAATATTAATGCTATTGTCAATGGGATGAGAGTGAGCATGAATTTCGCAACTAGTAACTAAGGAAATCTCTGTGAGGCAATTTACTCAGCAAATCAATAATATAGATTTTTCAGGTAAACAAACAAAAGCTGGGATAAAATTGAAGTGGCAAACAGAACTGTTGAACAAACAAACAAACTGTTGAAACTATAGAATCATGGCAATAGCTCTTCAAAAATGTTTTTTTTTATAGTTAGCAAGTTTTTGCTATTCCCTGCTCTATTTGAAAATGGTTATAGACAGGCTAAGGTGAATGTGAGATGTGCGAGGCTAGCGTTATTATTTATTATTTTATTATTGACTAGGATAACAAGCTAAGTCGATAGAGTCTGCTGTTTAGCTGTCTGCCTGCCTGACTATCTGTATGGCTGTCTATCTATCAATTCGCCTGTCTCTTCATGTAAGTGTCAGTCGGTCCATTCGTAACAATTTCGGAATCTATAAATGATAGAGATTTGACATTGGAAACATATAGCTAAAGCATCCTTACGTCAGTCCGTGCATCTGTGCGTTCGTCCGGCTGTCCGTACGTCCTTCCTTCAATCCGCCCGTCCGTTCTTCCTTCAGTCCGTCCGTCCATCCGTCCGTCCGTCTGTCCGTCCGTTCATTCGGCCTTCCGTCCGTCCTTTCTTCAGTCCAACCGTCCATTCTTCCTTCAGTCCGGCCGTCCGTTCATCCTTCCGTCCGTTCATACTTCCGTCCGTCTGTCTGTCAGTTCGTTCGACTGTCCGTCCGTTTGTATGTCTGTCCATTTATTCTTTTGTTCGTCCGTCCGTCTGACTGTCTATCTGTAACAATCCCGAATTTATAAAAAATAAATATTTATGATTTTGAACGCACTTCTGCGCTTGAAATATTATCAAATTAATTTAAGACCCCAAGTTAATAACTAGCTCATACTTAGCCACCATATATATCTTTAACTTGATCTATATATCTATATCTTTATCTATATATCTACATCACTATTTAGATTCTTTCTAATTTCCCTATGCTCTCTCTCTTCTCTTCTTCTTCTAGTTGGTTGCCCAAGTCTGCGATGCGCCCCGTTGGCGCTGATGCCTCGCACTCGGACTGCATTCTGGTCGTCGGCGTCTCCCGTCCAAAGCTGGCCGCTGTCTTTCTAACGGTCATGCTAATCTCATTGTTTCTCACGTTTCACGTGCTGTACGATAGCGCCGTCTACAATATACAGGCAGCACAGGCAGTTCACGAACGGCATCGGCTCTCCCTGGCAGCCTCCGCATCGGCAGCTGCGTATACCGCATCCAATGCCAATCATTTGCCAGTGTTTGTGAAGCCTGTGGCCAGCTCAAATCAGCTGAGTCATCCCATGGTATTTCCCTCCAGCCGCGTACACTTCCCCAAGACCAGCCGTCGCCTGCCCCAGGTAAGTGCCCCACCCAACAGCTCGATTGGTGTGTGTCGAATTACCCGAACACTGATAATTGCTGCAATTTGCATTTGCACTTCAATTACAGGCCCTGATAATTGGCGTACGCAAGTGCGGCACTCGAGCCCTGCTCGAGATGCTCTATCTGCATCCGCGCATCCAAAAGGCGGGCGGCGAGGTGCACTTCTTCGACCGAGATGAAAACTATCTGAGGGGCTTGGAATGGTATCGCAAGAAGATGCCCCATTCGTTTCGAGGCCAAATAACCATCGAGAAGAGTCCCAGCTACTTTGTCTCACCCGAGGTGAGTCTCGTGCCCGCATTTAGTTAAAACATTTTTGCACTCACTTTGATGTCGTAATTGGCAATTAGGGCCGTCCGTTGCACATGACCGACCCTAATTATTAATTAACTGGCCACGGCACTAACTAAAGTACACACAAAATATATCTACATTTACAAGCACATATATATATATATATATATATATATATATATATATTTAGATAGTATATGGGTGCCACAGATTGCATCGACATTCATCAAATTAAAGCGAAACGCAGTCAATGCTCAGCTCCCCTCACTCTCTCCCTCTCTATCTCTCTTTTCCTCTTTTGTATCTTGTCTCTTTGCCAATTTCCGTATTCCACTCTCGTGTCCGTGTCCGTATCCAACCAATTTTGGCAGCGGAAATGTTTGCAAATTCATTTGCCAAACGGCGTCATCTAACACACATCGTGCCCCAGCCCCATTTGGTGGCACCTCTGAACGAGAGCCATACGCCCACAAGCTGATTCAGGTGGTTTAGAACTGCAGTCTGTTTTATTATTGTTTCAAATACCCTGCACAGCTGCCAAATAGGTGTCAAAAGTTATTTATTCTTTAAAGCTTTTAATTTTTTGATAACAAACAAACAATTTTGAGCGCACATTTTTAGTTATTCCATGTGATAGTTTAATGGTGGTCTATATCTGTGTATTGCCTAGCTGGGTATCTTAAACATCTATAATTAACTAACTACTGTGTATCTAAATTTCTATAAATCTACCTATTGTTTGCCTTCCTCTATATAATATCTACCATTAGTAATGTTTCCTTTATCTTTAATCGTGAATCTTCCTTCCTTCAATCTCTTTCTTCCATCTGCCCTCTTTTATCTTCCATATTCTATCACTTCCATCTTCCATCATATATATCTTCCATCTTCCATCATATATATCTTCCATCTTCCATCTTCCATCTTCCATCTTCTATCTTCTATCTTCTATCTTCTATCTTCTATCTTCTATCTTCTATCTTCTATCTTCTATCTTCTATCTTCTATCTTCTATCTTCTATCTTCTATCTTCTATCTTCTATCTTCTATCTTCTATCTTCTATCTTCTATCTTCTATCTTCTATCTTCTATCTTCTATCTTCTATCTTCTATCTTCTATCTTCTATCTTCTATCTTCTATCTTCTATCTTCTATCTTCTATCTTCTATCTTCTATCTTCTATCTTCTATCTTCTATCTTCTATCTTCTATCTTCTATCTTCTATCTTCTATCTTCTATCTTCTATCTTCTATCTTCTATCTTCTATCTTCTATCTTCTATCTTCTATCTTCTATCTTCTATCTTCTATCTTCTATCTTCTATCTTCTATCTTCTATCTTCCATCTTCTATCTTCTATCTTCTATCTTCTATCTTCTATCTTCTATCTTCTATCTTCTATCTTCTATCTTCCATCTTCTATCTTCTATCTTCTATCTTCTATCTTCTATCTTCTATCTTCCATATTCTCTCTTAAACAAAGTTCAATTCCTCTACAGGGTATCTATAGGTTGCATAGTATCACACAACGAAGTCTTAACTTTTTTTCTTGGTACAGCGTTTTTTGTTCTTATTACTGTGCTGCCTGTTGCCCGCAGAGTGCCTCTGTTGCTGCCTCTGTTGCTGCCACTGCTGCTGCTACTGCTGATGCTGATGCAATTTGCTGGTCGAGCCGGAAGTTCCATGTGTCAGTGAAATTGAAGCCTTCAGCTGGGAAACCCGGGGATAGCTGATAGCCTAGGCAACCAGTAGGTGGCAGAGGGTCGCAGTTGCTGGGAAACTGGGATTTGGTTGGTGTCATGGCAATGCAATAATTCATTCAGTTTATGCTTTCAATTTGTAGCTGGGTTGCAGTTTACAGTTGGCCGACTGCAGCTGCTCTCGTATATAGCCTTGTTCTATGTTCCATTCCATTACGTTCCATTTGTTAAATCTTCATCAATGCCATGATTAATATTTATTGGCATACGCTCTGTGGGCAAGAGATGGAGAGAGACACAGAGAGAGAGGGAGCGAGAGTAAAATATAAACTGATTGTTAGCTGTCCTTTGAGAATGAGCCGCTGTCCATGGCAACTCTCTCGCTCTCTCTCTCTCTCTCTCTCTCTCTCTCTCTCTCTCTCTCTCTAGATAATTGTATTTTATTTAAATTTGTGCACATTTAAAGTTATACTCGGCGCATTTGCAGTATAAAATTAGCCACGCGTCCATAAATAATGCAGATCCCAACGGTGTGCTTGCGCCTTCAAACAGCATGAGAGCGAGAGAGAGAGATGAAGAGGAAGAGGAAGAGCGCAGGGAGAGGCAGGGCAGGTAGGCAATGAGTGAGTCGAGTTGGAGTCATGCCGTCATGAAAGCGCTAATATTTACCCTGGCTACTTTATAAATTGCATACATATATACAAATAAACACACACAATATGTATATATATATATATATATATATATATATATATATATATATAAATATTTATATACATAGTTTATTCCTTTTGTGTGTGTTGTTTCAACAAAAGGCCGATGCGGTGTTTTTTTCTGGTTCATCTAGATGAAACTTTGCCAGTCGCTTGCACTTGTTGCATACTTCATGGACGACAGCTCCACCCACAGCTGCCCCCATTGAAATTGATTAACTTTATTTAGCTTGGCTCGTTGGCTCTTTAATTAATACCCTGTGCACATATAAGAGTGCTTTGATGGGGAATGAGCAGTTGGTAAAACATAATGTCTGGTTATATATGCTATATATTTGGGTAATATTTGCTCGGTATTTATTCTACTACTACTACAATAAGGAGTACTAGTCTACTACTATTCTGCTCCGACCACTATTCTACTACTATTCTGCTTCGAATACTATTCTACTGCTCCCCTACTATTATGCTGCGGCTAATACTCTGCTACTATTCTGTTACTACTACTTATTTGTTACTATTTCTACTACTACTATTTTGCTACTACTACTTGACTGCTTTTCTTTTAGTTTTCTGCTTCCATTACTCTATAACTGCTATTCTACTACTATTCTGCTACTACTATACAACTGATATTCTACTACTATTTTGCTACTATTACTCTATTCCTATTTCTACTGCCACTATTCTTCTTTCACTACTCTACTACTAATTTGCTACTAATACTCTACTACTATTTTGCTACTAATGCTCTACTACTGTTCTTCTACTGCTCTACTAATTTTTACTACCACTATTTCACTACTACTCTACAACTATTCTCCTGCTATTCTTCTTCCACTTTACTACTACTACTTTCTACTTCTACAATTCCCATTGTAATTCTAAACTCGTTTGTTTCATTAAAATGACAGTCCTAAAATTTATTGAGATTGGTTAAATATCTTCAGTACAGGGTATTTGTTAGTCGATAAGTGCTGCATATATAATATATATAAATCTTGTCGCCTCAATGCCAGCACTTTGGCATCGACGACGTTATTCTACGGCCATGTTTTCCGTTTAAGTTTTATTGTTCTCGGCGCACAGGGCGGAGGCTGTTGGCTGCTTGTAAATTCATTAGTCGCTTAACTGCGGGCCAACATAACTTGGCATTATGCACGATATATGCCATGTGCAATATATATATATAAGTGGTCGGCTTAAAGCAATTGGAATGTATATATTAGTTTTATTCTTTGGCATTTTGCAGGTGCCAGAACGTGTGCGTGCCATGAATGCTAGCATAAAATTGCTTTTGATTGTGCGTGAACCGGTGACCCGCGCCATCTCGGACTATACACAGCTGCGTAGTCATGCGGCTACGGCGATATTGCCGCTGGCCGAGAGCAATGCGCCTGGCTCGGGCTATGGTGCCAAGATGCCTCCAACCACAACGTCGCTCTATGCCAAACTGCAGGCGGCCCATGGCCCATACGACAATGCACTGGGCAGCGGTGCCGGCGCCAAGGAAACCAAGCTGAGAGCAACTGCAGCTAAAAGACGTGCAGCTCCTTCGGCGGCTGTAACAACCATGAGCACGCCCACAACCACGCCCAGTGCAGCGCAACTGGCGGCAAAGTGAGTAGAGACAGATAATATATTATTAGCATTCTTCATATTGATCTTCGGTCTGCTTCATAGATCCTTCGAGGAGCTGGCCATATTTCCGAATGGCACTGTCAACGAAGCCTATCGTCCTTTGAGCATATCCATGTACCATGTGCACTTGCATCGCTGGCTGGAGGTGTTTCCGCGCGAGCAGCTGCTGGTGGTCAATGGCGATCGTCTGATCGAGGATCCGCTCTCTCAGCTCAAGCGCATTGAAGCGTTTCTCGGTGAGTTCTAGACATTGAAGCTGCCTCTAGCTCTGACTCATCAATACCTTTCCAGGCATCGAGCATCGCGTGCGCAGCGAACATTTCTATTTCAATGAGACAAAAGGTTTCTATTGCCTGCGCTACGACAATGGCGATCGTTGCTTGCGCGAGACCAAAGGTCGCAAGCATCCGCATGTCAATCCCGTGGTCGTGTCGCGCCTACGCAAATTCTTTGCCGAATACAATCAGCGCTTCTATGAGCTGGTGGGCGAGGATCTTGGCTGGCCCGAGGAGTAACTGAATTGCAACAGCGAGAAACATGGACTGAAACGAATTGGAAATGGATATGGAAATGGAAGTGGGAAAAACCAACAGCATTTTCCTGACTGCACTTTAATTATAAAGCAAAAAACAAAATATATACTGCGTGCAGCAGCTGGGACACGCAGCAGGGCGCCATCTTACCCTCTCTCCCACTCTATCTCCTCCTCTCTGTCTGGCTGCCTGCCAACGCGGCTGACAGTTCAATTATGCGAACTTTGGCGCCCACGAAATGTTTTATGCGAAAAAAGATGCCCGAAACGCAGATTTTCAACAGTACAAACGAAAATAGAGAGAGACAGAGACAGAGTGTGTGTGAGAGGGAGAGAATGTGGTGCAGCAAAGCATGAAAATGCATGGAAAAAATAATATATATAAAAGCAATATCTACATGATGAATGGCAAGACATAAATAAAGAGAGCGAAAGAGCGAGCGAGAGAAAGCTGTAGAGAGCTGAAGTGTATGCATGTGTGAGCGAGATAGAGAGAGAGAGTGTGTGGATAAAATTTATTTAAGCAACTAAATGTGATTTTATAGCATATAAGCGTTAAACAAAATGCAAATTAGTTTGAAATTCAATTCAAGTAACCCAAAGATAAAAAAACCGTCGGCTGAATTAAAAGTGTGCAGAAAAAAAAAAAACAAAAAATTAAAAGAAAAACTAATATAACATATATATATAAATTATACATAAATATAGCTAAATCGCAAACATATCGGAGCTACTCAACCTTAAGTATATGCATATATATAGTATGTATAATTAGTCGAACGTAACATATCAAAACGAGATAAAAAATCAACCATGAACTCAAAACATATCAGCGAAATGCTACAAATTCTACTAAATAAGATATAATATATATATACAAAATATTTATAAAACTTATACCAATTAATATTATATGAATTAGATGCTTAAGTTTGTATTCGATTTGTTAATTGTTATGCATATTATTATTTAGCAGCAAATTCCATTTGAGTCAAATTTGGCAACTAGTTTCCTAGCTTTAAACAAACAAAATACCAAGTCCTTAGACAAATTTAACTAGTTAAATGCACTGCCTGAAAAAAAGAAGATTATATATATATATATTGTGCACCAATGTAAGAAAATTTTAAGATTTTTTGAAAAAACAAGACATTTTTAGCAAGAGTTTATTTGTATTTACTTAGACTAAAAAATACTAGATAAAATAATATACTGCAAACAGTTTAAGATTTATCTATATACATATATATATATATACATAAATTTCATGTACTTTCGAAACTAATTGTGAAAAATACCAAAAATACGCATATCAACTCAATGTGAGCAATTTAAATTAAGCTACAACTAAATACTATCCATGCATACATATACACATATATAGATTTATATATGTGTGTGTTGGTGTTATAACTAATAATCATCTACTATAACGACCCAACGTAACGGTTTAATTTTTAAGTTAATTAATTCTATTTTTAGTTAGTTTCAATACACGTAAGTGATAGTTTTTAAGGGATCTTCAGCACAGAGAACTCAGCGAAGCACACACACACACACAGATAGACACACTCTATAGTCAGCTAGAATTGTTCAAAGCAAACCCAACACACACAGATACACAATCCAGGTGAGTCGGAAACACCTTAAATAATACTCAATCAAGTCTATCAAAGAATACCTAATAATTTCCAATGAAATCACGTAAGCAATATCAAGTCGAATGAAAAAAAAAAAACAAACAAAAAAGAACAAGACTGAAGGTCCTCCGCAGAATGTTTTCTCAATTACTTACGTTTCAAATAATACCAACAAAATACAAAAAATACCAATCAACCAGATATATATACATATAGTTAGCAGCGAACAACGAACAACGTTTATAATTTGTTATATTTTTATACAACAAAAAAAGAAAGAGAAACCAAAACAAAATACCAGAAAAAATACCAAAATTTGTTTTTGTATGCTGAATTTAGTATATATATATAAACATATATATATATATATATATATATATATATATATATATATATATATATATATATATATATATATATATATGCAACAGATATAGTTGATGTATATGTAGTTAACCTTTATCCTTTGAACTATGCCAATTAAATACCATAGTACATAAATATCAAACGTTTAACTCAACTCTAAAGCCTCCAATTGACATTGATATATACCACATATATATTTATAATATATATATATATGTATATTGATGTATTGTCTACTTAAAAACTTAAATATGTGTGTGTATTTACATAAATGAAAAACAAAGCTAATCTATAATGTACCTTAAAGCAAAAGAAAGGAAAACAACTATGTATATTTCTTAAACTTTCAACTCTCTTGACTCTTATTCAAATATTCAATGTACATGACATAAGGACATACGATACGATACGAAACATATCAGCAAACAGCAAATGATCATTCAATAAACAAAAGATAATATTCAAATTGTGTGACAACTTAAACAGAAATCAACATTTTAAAATTTAAAACCAAAAAAAATACACAATTTTACGCATGCAATGAAATAAATGTATTAAAAAATCGTGAGTTCCATTTGTTAAGGGGCGCTTTTAGCACAAACTGCCTGGCCAAGGGTTAAACAAACAGGTTACAAACCTGTTTGAAAGTGAAACGGCGATGTGGGCATATTAGAACACGCTGCGTATTAAGGGTTAAATGATTAGCAAGTACATAAACCGGTTGCAAGGCGAACTATGTGTTCTATAATGTGGGAATTTTAGCACGCGCTGCCTGGGTAAGGGATAAAGCATTAGCCAATACACAAGCCAGTTTCAAGAAGCAGCAGTAGAGCTAATGAAAAAATTTCACTAGTGCTTAGTCAATACTCAAACCCAAGCCAAAGTTTTTTGGCGAAAAGCACCCGTGAAAGCAAATAAGAGCTTACTAACCAATTGAGCGAAAAGCTTAATAAAACTATTTAGTTTGAGCTCGTCTGCGCTCGTGTGCGGTTTGTTTTTGATATTTGCGACATTTGAGGCTATTGCGTTTTTTCTCAATACTATAACTATATAAACTAGTTAAGACTAGTTCGTCAATATGTGGACGTCCAAAGTACCCAGCCAACAGCTCAACAATAAGCATCAGCTGTTCAAAGGGCGCCTACTAACTGTGGGCAGTGCACTCCAGCGGCATCAGCAGCAGGTGAGTAGCACAGCTGAGCGCCAAAGAGAGTCGAAGAGAGCGCGTGTGTGAGAGAGCGTGAGTGAGAGCGCCCGCTTGAGTAAGCTTTGAAAACAAACAATCAGACCCGCTTGGAAATTTACTGCAATACAGAACCATTGGGAAGAATTGTTGGAAACAACGCCGACGCGCAGCGATGAGGAATGGATGCAGGCGAAAGCCTATGCGGAACTACCTGGACCAGGTGCTTGGCGTCTGCTCTCCTACTTCCTGCCAGGCGGTAAGTGTAGCTATATGAAATATTTAGTATAAACTTTAATTTTTGTATTCCCATTTCAGGAAAACTCTACAATACGAATCTGATACAAATGAATCGCCGCATGCGTGAGTGGTACGGCGATATATACCGTCTGCCCGGTCTACTGGGCAAAAATGATGTTATATTCACCTATAATCCGAAAGACTTTGAGTCGACCTACAGAAATGAAGGCATTTGGCCTATACGCATTGGTCTAGAGAGTTTTACCTACTATCGCAAAGTGATTCGACCAGATGTTTTTGGCGGCATTGGCGGACTAGTATCCGAGTAAGTATTACATAATGCACACAACTTTGATTCGATATATATATTCGCTGCACACACAGACAAGGCAAATCCTGGGCGGATATACGGAATAAGGTGAATCCGGTGCTGATGAAGGTGCAAAATGTCAGACAGAATCTGCCGCAAATCGATCAAATATCCAAAGAGTTCATTGACAAGTAGGTAAGCTAATTTCGAACTAGATCTCTATTAAGATCTTCTAATTGCTCTTCTAGATTGGAAACCCTACGTAATACGGCCACGCACACACTCAACGCTGACTTTCATGAACAGCTCAAGATGTGGGCCTTTGAATCGATCAGTTTTGTGGCGCTAAATACACGCATGGGTCTACTGAGCGATCAACCAGACCCAAATGCCGCACGCTTAGCCCAGCATATGTCGGAGTTCTTCAATTATAGCTTCACGTACGATGTACAGCCATCGATTTGGCCGTATTACCAAATGCCTGAGTTTAAGAAATTCCTGAAGACCTACGATCACATCACAGAGATTACGACTAACTACATAGAGGCGGCTATAAAGCGATTCGACGACGCGCAGCAATCGGACACTAAATGCGTACTACAGCAGCTGTTGGCCCTGAATAAACAGGTGGCAGTGGTCATGGCTATGGATATGCTAATGGCTGGCATAGATACGGTACGAACTAGCTTTGTCTTTTAGAACTAGAAGTCCTTGCTAATGCCACTTCAATTACAGACGTCTTCAGCCTTTGTGACCGTGCTGTATCATCTGGCGTGCAATCCCGAGAAGCAATCGCAGCTGCATCGCGAACTGCGGCGCATTTTGCCCAGCTGCGAGGATGCTCTGACCGCGGAGAATACCAAAAATATGCCCTATTTGCGCGCCTGCATTAAGGAGGGTCTCAGGATTACGTCCATAACGCCGGGCAACTTCCGCATAACTACCAAGGATCTAGTGCTATCCGGCTATCGTGTGCCCCGTGGCACGGGCGTTCTCATGGGCGTACTGGAGCTCTCCAATAGCGATGAATACTTCGCTAGCAGTGCACAGTTTGTGCCCGAGCGTTGGCTCAAATCGGATTCGGATGTGGATGTGGATGTGAAGGCATGCCCGGAGGCGCGTAGTCGTAATCCGTTTGTTTATTTACCCTTTGGCTTTGGGCCACGCACTTGCATAGGCAAACGCATCGCTGAGCTGGAAATGGAGACGCTGCTGGCACGGCTGCTGCGCCGCTACAAGATCAGCTGGCTGGCCGAGACGCCGCTGCAGTATGAAAGCACAATAATACTCTCGCCACATGGGGATATACGCTTCAAGTTCGAGCCGCATTCTGTTTAGAGAGTTGAGAATAACAAAGCCGTGGTAAGTTCTTGATATTTACTTTTCGTATAAGGCTAACAATATGGGAAGTGTAAAGAAACTATTTAAGAACAAGGATTTAGGGTAAAGGATATTGAGGTATAGGCTAGGCTATATGGAGCTATAGTCGTTTAGCGTCGATTGCGTCCGCGATAACGCTGATGAGGATGATTGAATTGCCGTTGCTGCTGCTGCTGCTGCTGCTGCTGATGCTGCTGTGGCTTCTGTGTAGGCTGCTTGGCTGAGGGCGGCGTGTCCTGCTGTTCGTGGGAATGGGCTAGAGCAATGCATTGCCTGGTTGCCTCCTCCACATCAGAGCCAGCTGAATGTATTTCATCTAGCTCAGAGTTGGGCGTCGAATGGGCTGTGTGAAAGATTCGCCATCGAGTTACTGTACAGCAAAATCATTTTGGCAGAGACTACTCACTGGGCACCGAATTAATAATGACATTACGCAACACAGACTGGTTGACAAAGTCGGCATTGAAGGCGTCGGGCGAACCTGCGAAATAGTGAATATATTTATTACACTTTGAAGAGGCGGCGGCTAAGCAAACAAACCAATCGGACTATAGAAAATATCTTCAGAGGAGGTAGCAGGCGTTAGGGTCTCAATGGTGGGTTGATCTAGACTCTCAGTGGATTGATCTAGATGGGTCGGATAATCTGGCTTGACGGGCGTTGGGATCTTGGTGGATTGAGCTGAATTGACAGGCTTTAAGATCTCTACAGTGGATGGATGTGGGTTGACAAGCGTTGGGATCTTAGTGGATTGAGTCTCTGCAATGGATTGAGCTGGAATCTCAGTGGGATCAGCTACAGGAGGATCAGTGTCTTGTTGCTGCTGTGGGCAGACAGTGCTTGTGCTGCTGCTATCCGTATCGGAGTTGGAGTTGGAGTTGGAGCTGGTCTTGGAGTTGGAGTTGGAGCTGGTGTTGGAGTTGGAGTTGATGTTAATTGAATCGGGCTGAGGATCAGGTTCATTGGGTTCAATATCAGTGTGGGAGCTGTTGCTGCTTGTGGATTCAATGTTGGCTATTGTGTTTGAACACATGCACAGAATAACAAAAACAAAAGCAAAATACTAAAGTTTAAAATGTTAACCCAAAATCCAGGATTGGGGATGCTAGAAATTACCTGCAGCTGCCGTATTATTGTAGAGACGCGTGTTCAGCAAGGCGGCGCTCAAATGTCCGGGCGAGGATTTCCACTGCTCCTCCTTCAAGGCGGCTAAATGTGAGTAGAAAGATAGGGTATGTCAGGGCAGGGAAATCTTAAGAAAATGTCGAAAGAAGAACTTGTTTCTGGGCACAATTATTATTCTGTATTTCAGCTTATCGTTTCAACTATCAAAAGGAAAACTTCAAAAAAATCTTAGGCTTAAATCGTTAATCGATACTTGCAATTAAACTAGGACTTAGACTTAGTTGTGTCTATATATGCAGAAGGGGGTCGGTCTGTTGACTTTGCGTGCGGGTGTGTGTGTGTGTGTGTATGCGTGTGAGGGCTTGCGCGTGTGTGTGTGTGTGTTTCTAATAAACAACAGAGAGTTAGAGAGGAAGTTCAATATCCATTACCAACTTCCATTGGTTCCCTTTCATTGCCGTTGAGCGTGGCCTGCGGTTCCTTTGGCTTCTGCACATGATTTGAGGTGTTGTTTGTAGGCTTGATGTTCTCCTTGTGCTGCAGGGAGGGACAGAGAGAGAGAGAGTTACTAAAAGCTCTATCTATATGCAGTCTGATCGAGTCTACCTGCTCTGTATTCTCTTGCTCCTCATTGCTGCTACTGTGCTCGCTGCTGTGGGATTCACTTTCGCTCTCGCTGCTGGTGTCGCTGGTCGTGTTCTCGTCCTCTGCATTGGGCACGAAATCTGAATCATCCTCAGAGTTCTCATTGGCATATTTGGAGAGCATTTGTTCAATAGTTAAATTATGATCGGCATTCATGTCGTCATCGCGCGGACGCTTGGCGACGTTTTCCTTCGGCGGGTTACTCTAATGAGTAGAATCGAATTGAATTTGATTGGCTCTACGTTTGATCGAGCTGCACCTGTTCTCACCTGCTGCTGTTTCGCTGCCATGGCGCCTATGTTGAACACCCTGCCGCTATTGGCCCGCTGCACACCTGGCTGACAGATGGCACGCGAGAACCATTGGTTGAGCTTTTGGGTGTAGCTGCTGCTGTTCGTTCTGCTCGAGGACTCCTGCTGCCTGTTACGCATGGCCCGCAGCCCATGGACGCGGATGGCGCGCAGTTTGCGACGACGCGTTTGTATAAAGTAAATCATATCCGACGGCGAGACTGGTCCATTGCCTATCACCAAAGCACCAAGTGACAGCCAGATGCGCACCAGGCGCAGCGCAACGATCAACATCAAAAATGGAGCCCACGGCAAAGGACGTTCCAGCACAGCAGAGCTCGAGTTTTTATCTAGAGAGATGTGGGGATGTGACTTAGAGCTTAATTTATCTATTGGCCAACTGATAGACCTTACCTTGCGGCAGACTCCATTTGGTTGTATCTTCGATCAGCTTTAAGCCACGATCGGCCCTCTCAATAACGAACTGCCCCAGTCGAGTGCTGGCAAAGCGTTCCGCCTGCTCACGCACCTTCTGATACAAGCTGGACGGTCGCTGCAGTTCGCTGACTTCATCATCACCGATCGCATCGTGCTGCGTATGCTGATCTTTAGCCCCCATCGTTGTCTCCTGTGCCATGCTGCGGATGTCGCCTCTGCTTCTCTCTGCTATGATTAATGGCATATTTTGTATAATAGACAGGTAAATATACTAAGTATAGGCGCTCAATACTCGCGCAGGGGACAATTCAATTTAGTCAACAAACACTTTCAATAAATCGTGTTCCTAAGTATATATATATGAGGTATATGATCAGTACCAATAGAAGAGTCACGCAATGTGTAAAGCTCAAGCAAATTAATAGTTTTCAAAGGCATTTACTCTCTCTATTTTCGATCAATATCAACAGCATATATTATATATCCTTATAGCATAATCCCTTTCTATATCTAATCTAATCAATATTGTCCAGAAACATATTAAATATCAACAGCTTTTTCGGTAGATTTTTGTAGATTTTTGATCATGACTTAAATAAGAAAATGCGTTCATGGAAACATAGAAAATATTTTGCAAATACAGTAAAGATTCTAAAAATCGTGTAATCACCATATATTACATATTTAATAAGAAATATTTTTCGATTTTCCTTAAATTTATTATCAATTATTTTGTCTTTTATAAAATTATTGAACATTATTTTAAAATACGTAAAAGTTTTTTAAGAGTATATCTATTAATAACTCTTACAAGTTCGCTTTAGGCAGGCTGTACTTTATAGTATCATTTTATCGATAGTTATGAAAGCTGCATTGTAGTATATTTGCGTTTAATTATGCTATCAGACGCATCTCAAAGCTATTCTCGCTCTCATCGTAGCCAAGGACAACTGTACTCCATGCATTTCTATTCACTGTTTTCTGTCATACACTGGTATATACTCTATCATGCATATATCATTTAATGATCATAGACACTATCACTATTTGTATTGCTAATCCGAACTGATCCTATTTGAGCTGTGACAGCATTTGCGGCGTGATTGGATGCTGACAACCCCAAAAGCGACCTGTACTACCTCTATAAGTAAATAGGTAGGTATAACTGACACCGTCTGACATCGCGGCACCCAGCTCATGGCCAGCGCTCTATATTGAATATTCATACTCATATTTATATTCATACTCGCATTATCAGCACGCAGCATCGTGTCGCATCGCACTTTCTATGTACACTTAAATGCAAAAAAAACAACAAAAACAAAAACAAATAAGAAAAGAAATTTGTTGCTTTTATTTTGTATTTGTTGGCTGTCTGGCAAAACTAATGGGAGCTATCAATAGCTATAGAGATCTTCAGCTTTCCGGCTCAGTGACTAACAACAAAAATCAAAACAAATTAAGTAATAAATATTTATATATATAGACAGATATATGAGTGTGTGTGTATAAAAAGTTGAACTTTGTTCTAAAACCGGGAATGCTCTGAATAGTTGGCTTGGTGATAAGTGAAATGTGATAGTATGAGAATAATATAATACACTTAATATATACTATTCAAATATATATATACATATATATAACGTTATGAGCAATATATAGTAAATATAAATTAGGTAAGAATTCTCCCATAAACATATAAATATATATATTTCCAATTTGATGATCAAACGAGCATACCCGTTAGCAAAGTCCATATATATAGGGTGAAGCCTACTCATAGCCAAGCTAATCTTTTAATTAGTGTGAATAATAGGTAAATATTAATAGTTCATCATTTGTATTAGACAATCTTCGCTAATCTTCGCAATTTCGTTCGCATTGCCGACGAAACAATTTCTGGCGCATTCTGAGCCTAAATAATTTCCAAACACAAATATTTAATATAAATATTTACATATGCATGTCATTTAATTTGATATTTATAGCGCTTATTGCATCGCCACAAGAAAAAAGTGCGAAAAAAATTTAACGAAAATCGAAAAAAAAGAACATATTAAATAACAAATATAATAAAATTATCAAAAATGTATTGGCGGGATCAAAGTGTATCGAAAACTGTATGCAAAAGCAACGACTGCACACGCACACATACGAAATCTCACAGACACAGACACATGTACATAGTCAAGTACACATAGAACTGGGCAAGATGGAAAAACGAGAAAGAGATAGCTGCATGGGAATGTAAAGCAACAATGCATAGCGAAAGTGGAAATTGCAAAAGGAGCCAAAACTAACTGCGAAGTTGTGAGAGGGGCATACAGAGAAAGAGTGAGAGAGAGGGAGAGTGTCTGAACTTCAACATAGAGTTGTCTTCCCTCACTCCTCTTAGCCACCTACGCATTGAGATAACGGTTGCTGCAGATTAAATGGCGCACGAGAAAAGGTCCGCCAAAGCGCACAGTCGATTACAGCATGGACTTACCGGTCTTTCTTTTGCTCTTGCGCTTGTTGCAGCTTTTTATGCTTTCAGCAAATTCGTTGGCTTTCCTTGTGCTCTTCTTTAAAACATGCGTGCCAGCCGATGTATACACAGCTATACTAAGATTATTTAAGCAAATTTGTATATATAATTTTTAAAAGCACTAAAGCAATCAACTGGCAAATGGACCCAACGAACGGCTGCACAACTCCCGTGTGACTGACCAAGGCAGCGCTAGCCGAGCGCCGACCAACCGGGAGTGAGGCGATCGGCACTGCCGATTACCGTTATCAGAAGAACAGAGCGCGTCAAAGAGCACGAGCTGCGCTCAGCACTCAGTGCTCAGTACAAAAGAGAGGACGATTGCATATATTTTAAGCTATGCTTGCTGTTGAGCAACAGCATTGGAAGGATATAACTGTAAACTTTGACTCGTTTGAAGTTGGGCACATTTACACTCGGCGTGAATTGGAGCGCGGTCAGAGCAGAGCCCTTGGGCTGAGTGGAATGCACAAAGCAGTGCCGCACAAAGCTCGAGTGGCTGCTTGAAAGAGTGCGCACATTTAAGCACAGGTTAGACAGGTGTTAGTACAAATAAAATGATAACAGCTACGTATTAAATTGAAATTGTTGCATTCAATAGTATGCACACTACACAGCTATTTATTAAGCTAGTCAAGTGTATGAGCTTTGTCTCATCCTATTGAGCCACCAATTTATTATCCTGTTTACTGGTTAAAATTAAGAACTCAACAAGGCACGCTCGCTGACTACTACTACTGCTACACTCAATTGTCACTGCGCTGAGTGCAAACAAAAAGCTCTCAGCGAAAATTCAGTTGCGCAAAAACTCTCCACGTTGCCGGACGCAGCGACGCAGCGACGCGGCGAAACGAAACTTTGCCAAGCAAACCAAAGCGAAGTGAAGAGCGCGCGTTTTGTGCTGTACATACGACTTACGCAGTCTAATAGCGTTCAGCCCAAGCGTCATTCAATTCATCTCGCGTGTGTTCCAAAGCTGCAGGATAAAGGGGCAGCAACTGCAATTAGTCCGTGTGCGGGTGTGTGAGTGTGTAGTGTGTGCAGTGAATGAAGCTCAAAGAAAATCAAAGCTTGTTTTTATAAGTGAGAAAAACAGGAGTTGCGGCAGCAGCAGCAGCATCAGGCAGGCGGTGGCGCCTCCGAAATGTGTCGATGTAACCAGCAACAAACGAATCAACGCGCAGGCAACTGAGGCGCCCATCATCCCAAACCTTCAAAAATTATAGTTCATTTGTATTGGTGCCGAGTCGCGTGCCTGTGAGCACACACACACAGCCACTCACTCACACTCACACACGCATACGCTTGGCCACTAAACATGCGTAAGTAATAAGTAAAAAAAATACACATACACACACACACACACACAGTCATGGAATATAAAAAAAATTGGTTTCCGCTTATGCCAAAATTGATATAAAGTTGTTGATACAGCGGAGCCTGGCGAAGCTAACGGGTTCATCGCTTCTGCCTTCTGTCACCTGTCCCTATCCCTGCCCCGACCCCGCCCCCGCCGCCGGCCCCTGCAGCAGCGGCTGTTTGTATATGCGAATATTTTAAGGCAGCTTAAAGTGGTGGCAAGCTGTAATGCGTTATCCTTTAGGCACTCGCTTGACTCGCTTCTACACTTGGCCCAGGCTTGCGCCAGCTAAGCTCGAAACTTTGAGCCCCACTCGAGAGTGGGGCATGTTTAGCATGCCCTGGCAGAGTCGCAGCCACAGCTACAGCTACAACCATTACTGTGTGCTATTTTTATACGCTGTTCGGGCAAAAATTAGTTGGCGCATAAATTTGTGAAACGAGAGGGGCTCAAAAGGTTGTAAACTAAGCAAAAGTTAGAGATAAGACGAAGTGAAGTTAGTGGATAAAAAGTGCAGAGGAAGAGAAGTAGGACATAAGTTTAGGAGGAGAAGGTGGCAGAGAGAAACAAAGAGGAAGACAGATAGGGAGAGAGAGAGAA